AGGGAATCCTGAAGTTTCCGTGACCCAAGAGAACCCCTGGAGCAGATGTCTGCAGTTGAGACAGAGAAGTTTCTGAGAGGGAGCCCCTCAAGTGTAGTATTAAATTCAATTTTAAAGGGGGGGTGCCAGCCCCACCCGCTGCTAGTAATACTACCCATGGGTTCAGTAATGCACAATTGTACGGTTGAGATATATAAGTATTATATTAAAGTCATTGAGAGCATGAGAGATATTACAATAATGCAGTCGGACACATTACATGGTAGCATTGCTCACCTCAGCCCAGCTTGGCGGTCCACGTGGAGAGAGGGGGAAGGGAAGGAGGGCAAGGGAACAAGGGAGAGAGGCTTGGAGAGGAGAGGGGGAAGAGAGGGGAGCCAGAGAGAGGTCAGAGAGAGGTCAGAGAGAGAGGTCAGAGAGTTCTATATTGCTGACCCAGGCCTATATACCTTTTGGGGGCATGCCAGCCCACTAATTACAGGTAGAGACATATGTCACCTGAAGGGGTTACACTATACGTTACACAGCAATGAGAGGGTGGTCTAGGGGGTGGTCTCTGAGTCTCCATAGGAACCATTACCAGTAGGGTGAAAACTCTGCCTACAGGAGCCTGTCCATTGTCCCCAGAGGCAGGGAGCAGGGCCTACTGCAGTTTGGCAACTGATTGCCCTCAGGGGGGAATGCCTGTGCATCTGACCTCCCCCCACACGCAGGTTAGGTGCTATGAGCCCTGGGTGTGGTCAGCACTGTGGAGAGGGGTGATGAGGTGTTTGGTAGGGCTTGCCCCCTCATCTGCACCCCCAGACCAGGTGTGGACGGGCCCAGCACGGAGTTGTTAATGGAAGGGACCAGAGCTGAGCAGGTCCAGGGCTTGCTATGGGGCAGGCTGCCGAGAAACAGCCGCACCAGGTACCTGTTTTCGCTGGAGAGAAGCACGGTTCCATTGATGGTGATCTGAAGTCCATCCTGGAGACCCCCGTAGATTAGGCCGGTGAAGGGGACACACTGCGGGGAGGAAGTGGTGGAGACCAGTCGTCAGCCTGCTCCTCCTGCTGCGGGGTCTCTGCCAGGACTTGCTAATGGCCGGCCTGCCTGTGCTGGGTACCACATTAGGGGCGGAGGGTGTGGGCACGAACGGAGACGCATCAGGTCTCAGCCTCGCAGGCCTCGCAGTCTGTGAGGAAGTGGACGCTCACTTCCAACTCATAAGGAAGCCAATTGCTCAGCCACTCTGCCATGCCGTCGGGAGGCTGTGGGCTCGGAGAGGATGTGACTGAGGGGCTGGCTGTCCTGGGAAGTCCGAGAGGAAGTCGCCGCACAGAGCCCACACAGAGTTGGCCAAGAAGGAGGGTCTTCACGGCAGAGCCAGTGGCATGGGCTGTGAGATGGAAGGAACCTGAGTCGTGATGGGGTGGGGGTGGGGTGCTGGATCACAGGCCAAGCTCCCGGCAAAGGCCCCAGGATCCTGTCCAGGAACCCAAGAGGTCCAAAGGATCAAAGGGACCCACCCAGTTCTCCTAGAGATGAACTCCCCGCGCACCTGAGAAGACCAGAAGCCATCCCCACTGTCCCCCTAGAGCAATGGCGGCCACGAGGATACCCCTTCAGCCACCTCTTCCCCGGCCCTTGGTGCCCTAGGGCTGCCTCTCCACCTTCTCCTGCTCCTGGATTCCCCCCCCCCCCCCCCCCCCCCCCCCCCCCCCCCCCCCCCCCCCCCCCCCCGCCCCCCACTTCCTTCAGGTTCCAGCAGCCTAAAAGCCCAATGTGCTGGTTCCACCTGTCCTAGGCCCCATCGGCAACCACTTTATCCCATTCTCTGGTCTGGGCCTCTCCAAATGAGCAGCTAGCTGTCTGAGCACGCTATGGAGTCAGGCAGCCCCAGGTCGGAACCCTGGCGCTGCTGCTGGTTATCGGAGTGACAGGCAAGTCCTCAGTTTGTTCATCTGGAACACAGCGACAAGCCTCGCCCCACTGCAAAGGCGTGCCGGGAGAACCCAGTGACCAAAGGTCTGCAGAAGAGAGCGGTGCGTATATCGTAGCAGTGTCCCAAACTGGTTACTTCTCAACGGTCACACCTTACCTCCGGGGATTCCTTTTATTTGAAGGGGATCTACAACCTGCATAAAGCTCATTTTCAGAACCTACTTGTGTTAGTCCTGGGAGACCTATCTTATATTGGTAGGCAAATTCATAGGCACTCATTGGGTGTAAGAAAGAGCTTTATATACAAGAGCAACTGTACATTAAGAAACCATCTCTGCCCAGTCCAGATCAAGTCCATAAGTCCGATATTAGCCCATATGGCTGATATCAATCTATGAAGTCCTCTTCAGACTCAGGAAACATACACAATGATGTGTTGTGAGCATCTCAGCACTAGCAGGGGTCTCCACGTGGCTTCTCCAGCTCTCAGGACTGCATCAGGGCAGGTCCATGTGACTTCTAGTCATTAGAGAGCCCCTCCACCCAGGGACAACTGGTCCATGACAGAGGGCCAGAGCCCATTACATGGGGAAGAGATAATGAAACAGTACTCATCCTTCATACTCTACCCAAAAACTAACTCAAAAATGAGCCTCAGACCTAAGATTATAAAGATCGTGGAAGAAAAAGTAGGGACTATGCTAGGATCCTTGATACCTGGCTTAAATAGCATAACAAACATAACAAAAAAAAAGCACAAACAGCAGACTATAAACTGAATAAATGGGGCTTCCTAAAAATTCATCTTTAAAATTCATAGAAAACTTCAGCAACAAAGAGACAAATGATTCAACGTGAAAATGGGGAAAAGGGGCAGTAACAGCAAAAATATCCAAAAAGACATTCAGGCAGCCAACAAATACATCAAGAGATGCTGCCAATCATTAGCTATTAGGGAGATGCCACTGGAAACATCCATGAGACATCATCTAGCTCCAGCAATCACACACACACACACACACACACACACACACACACACTCAGGCGAAAGCCATACACAAATATTTATGCACGTCCATCCTCACAGCAGCCGTAGCCACAACAGCAAAAATAAGGAACTAACGGGACTGCTCAATGGTGAATGAACAGATCAGCAAACTGTGGTGCAGACACATAACCGAATTCTGCACAGCGTGCAAGAATAATGACGACTCCACTGAGCATATTGTAATATGGATGCCCTGGATGCGGAGGGAAATAAGTCAATCACACACACGTCAAAAAGGAGACCTGGCCATAAAAAGCCGAGAACACAGAAGGGAAATAAGTCAAACACACACACACACACACATCAAAAAGGAGACCTGGCCATAAAAAGCCGAGAACACAGAAAGAAGCCCTCTTGGATGGTTACCAGGGTGGAGAAGGGGCATGGTGCAGGGCATGACTTGACAGGCCTCTGCTGGTCACCGTCTTTGTAGTTCCCACCAAATGGCTGGGCTGCTCTTGTTGTCATTGTCAAGTGCTGTGGAGTCGCTTCCAACCAGCCCTGTGTACAACCGAGCGAAGCCCTGTTCCAACCATCCCCCCAGTTGATGTGTGGGAGGCCGCCGTTGCGGCCACTGTGTCCGTCCATCTCACTGAGGGTCTTTGTTTTTCCCACTGACCTTCGACTCTCCCGAGCTCGATGTCCTTTCCAGGGACTGACCCCTCCTGATAGCGTGTCCAAAGCACCCGAGAAGGAATTTCACCATTCACCTCTCAGGGGCATCCTGTCTGTCTTTCTTCCAAGACAGACTTGTTGATTGCTCCGACAATCCGTGCACAGTCCGTAGTCTTGGCAACCCCGTAATTCAAATGCATCAATTCTTCTCCAAGCCCCCACCCCACCCCCGTCGGCTTTCAAACCAAACAACCTCTCCGCTGTCCAGTCTGTGCCGACTCACAGTGACCCGGCAGGGCTCCGTCCCGGTCCCTCCTTCAGGGTTCAGAAAGCCCGTCTTTCTCCCTTCGCCTGTGTCTGAGCTGATGAGCACACCGTGGCTGGAGTGCTTGCCCGTGGCTACGTAGCTTTGGTATTGTGACTGCTGCTTCCGTGAGCATTGATTGGGGATCTAAGTCAAAGGAAATCCTTGACAACTAGTTCATTATGTTTTTCTTTCTTTCTGGTGTTCTTTCCTGGCGTGGCCTGTTAGCCCAGTTGTGAGGGTGATTGATGTCTTTACAGTGGGGTGCAATCCACACTGAAGGCTGCATGGAGGCTTTGCTTTTCATAGCTAAGGGCATCAAATCCTTTCAGAGAGCAAAACTGGCTTATGTGCACAGTATAGAGTGCTAAGGAGTCTTTCCCCAATCCTGCTGCTGCGTTCTTCTTCATACAGTTCAGCTTCTCGGACTACTTGCTCAGCACGCAGGCTGAGTAAGCACGATAAGTGGATACAACCCTGATGCACACCTTTCCTGATTGTACACCATGTAGCACCCCTTGTTCTGTTTGAACAACTGCCTCTTGTTCTGTGTACAGGAGCCACAAGAACACAATGAAGTGTTCTAGAATCCCCATTCCTCACAAGGTTATGCAGTGTGTTATGATGTACGCAGTTGAATACTTTTGCATAGTCAATCAAAGAAAGTAAACATCTTTCTGATATTCTCTGCTCTTCAGCCAAGATCCATCTGATACCAGCAATGATATCCTTAGCTCCACGTTCTCTTTTGAATTTGGCTTGAATTTCTGGCAGCTCCCTCTCTATGCACTGCTACAGCCATTGTTAAATGATCTTCAGCAATGTGTTACTTGCATGTGATATTAATGATACTGTTAAAAAAGTCTTCCTCATTCTGTTGGGTCACCTTTCTTTGAAATGGTTACAAACCTCTTTCAGTAGGTTGGCCAGGTTCTTGGCATAAATAGTGATCGCTTCCTGTGCTTTGTAAACTTGAAACATTTCAGCTGGTGTTCTGTTGACTGCTCGAGCCCGGGTTTGCATGGACGCTTTCAGTGCAGCTTGGACTTCTTCCTTCAGCACCATCATTCTTGAGTCACCGTTACCATCATTCTTTCTGATACATTGACTCGGTATTCCCCCCATCTTGTTTTGATGCTTCCTGCATCGTTCAATATTTTTCCCATAGAATCTTTCAATATTTCAACTGGAGGCTTGAATTCTTTCATGTTTTTATCTTTTTGGCTTTCTAACTCTAGGTCTTTGCACGTTTCATTCTATTAATATTTTACTTTGTCTCCCCGAGCTGCCCTTTGAAATGCGCTGTTCGACTTATCGGTTCTTTCACGCGTTTCGGCGTGAACTCTGAGTTCAAGAGCAAATGCCAGGGTCTCCTCTGACCTTCACTTGCTTGGTCTTTTCTTTCTTTCTGTGACCGTTTGCTTGCATTGTGTAAGACGTTATTGAGGTCATCCCACGGCTTGTCTGTCGGGTCCTCTGTCATGCGTGTGCAGTGGGTCATGTTGGATCATGAGATGGGTTCTACTGTATTCAGATGGGTTATACTGTATTCAGATGGGTTATACTGTATTCGGATGGGTT